TCAGTGTGACGGGGGATGAGGTGGTGCTGCCAAGTCTGACCACCTGGCGTCTGTCAGACAGAAAGTTAAGGATCCAGCTGCAGAGGGAGCTGCTCAGTCCTAGATCCTGCAGTTTCCTGTCCAGCTTCGATGGAACGATGGTGTTGAATGCTGGGCTGTAATCTACAAACAGCATTCTCACATACGTGTCCTTTTTCTCCAGGTGTGACAGGGCAGCATGAAGTGTCAGGGCTATGGCATCATCAGTGGACCTGTTGTGGCGGGATGCAAACTGTAGAGGGTCCAGTGAATCGGGCAGTGCAGAGCAGATAAAGTCCCTGACCAACTTCTCGAAGCATTTGCTCACGATGGGGGTCAGGGCTACAGGTCGCCAGTCATTCAATGAGGAGATGGTGGAGGATTTGGGTACAGGGACAATGGTGGCCATTTTTAAGCAGGCTGGGACTACAGACAGAGAGAGGGAAAGGTTGAAGATGTGTGTAAACACTCCAGCCAGCTGACCCGCGCATGACCTTAGGACGCGGCCGGGAATCCCGTCCGGACCAGTAGCTTTGTGTGCATTCATCCTCCTGAAGCACCTCCGCACATCCTCTTCAGACACAGTGTGCGCACTGACGTCATCCGCGGTGCGCTCACTGTCTGGTCTCATGGTGTTCGCTGTGTCGAATCTGGCATAGAATGCGTTTAGATCCTCACACAGAGAGGCCGTGGTCTGCGGTGTGCTGGTTCTCCCTCTAAAGTCTGTGATTGTGTTTAGTCCCTGCCACATACTCCGGGGTTGCTCCACCCTGTCTCTGTACTCACGTTTGGCTGCTTTGATCGTCTTCCGGGGTTGGTAATGTGCGTGTTTGTAGTCTGATGTGTTCGCGGAGGCAAAGGCGGTGCTCCGCGCCGCCAGCGCCGTTCGCACACCTCCATTAATCCAGGGTTTTTGATTCGGGAAGGATTTAACTGTTCTGGATGGGACAACATCTTCCACGCATTTCCTGATAAATCCGCATACTGAGTCTGTGTACTCATCAATGTCTCTAGCAGCTGTGTGAAACATTTCCCATTCCGCCCGATCAAAACAATCCTGCAGCGCAGACTCCGATTGGTCTGACCAACGATGCACCGCCCTCAGGGTTGGAGCTTCCCGTTTCAGCTTCTGTCTGTAGGCAGGTATAAGCAGGATGGAGCGGTGATCTGATTGGCCGAATGGGGCGCGGGGGAGGGCTTTGTACGTATCTCGGAAAGAGGTGTAGCAGTGGTCGAGTAGCCGATCTCCACGTGTATTGAAATGGATGTGTTGGTGTAGTTTTGGTGAGACTTTCTTCAGGTTACCCTTATTAAAGTCCCCGATCGTAATAAACGCCGCCTCTGGGTGTACGGTTTCCTCATTGCTGATCGCGCTGTACAGTTCTCTGAGTGCTCGGTCAGTGTCGGCTTGTGGGGGAATGTAAACAGCTGTAATAATCACCGCTGTGAATTCTCTCGGTAGCCAAAATGGCCGGCACTTAATCATCAGGTACTCCAGGTCCGGAGAGCAGAAGGATTTGACCGGGTGCATGTTCGCATAATCACACCAGCTGTTGTTGATCATGAAACACACACCACCACCTCTGCTTTTCCCAGTAAGCTCCTGTGACCTGTCCGTGCGGTGCACGGAGAACCCCGGTAGTTGTACTGCGGTGTCCCGTACTTTGTCCGATAGCCAGGTAGGTTTCTATGAGGCAGATTGCGCTGCAGTCCCGCATCTCTCGCTGGAATGAGATCCGAGCCCGAAGCTCGCACAGCTTGTTCTCCAGGGACTGCACATTAGCCAGTAGTAAACTGGGTAATGGTGGTCTGTTAGAGCGCCGTCTTAGTCGAACCAGAACGCCAGATCTTCTCCCTCTGCGTCGGCGCTTGCGGCCTCCACGGGCCCAGAACAAAGGCGTCTCAGGTGAGATGAATGGGGGATCTGCAAACGGCGGGTCCGTGATAAAAGACCTGAACTCCAGGAAGCAATGAGAAAATCTGTCTTTTATGTCCAGTAAGGTTTGTCGGTCGTACACAAGGATACATGTGTTACTCGTGAAAAAATAAAGAAAAAGTAGTAAACACAAAAAACAGCTGTTGCGTGGTGGAGCTCGCGACGAGGCAGCCATACTCGGCGCCACCTTCTCCAACTTCCAGGAGACTTTTAGGAGACATATGAACAATCGCTGACTTTTCCATGAAATCCTAAACACATACAGCCACACAGAAAAACCATCTATAGTGTTGCAAGGTTAGCTAACGTTAGTGTTAAAATTTCCAGTGGCAAAACCCTCGACTGCTGCAGCGGTTGAGGGTTGACTCTCTTCATCCAGATCCATAGGTTTTATCACTTCATTCATTTGTTTCTGACTGAACCCGTGGAAATTTGGGCAACAAAAACCGATCCATTTTACCACTAGCTCTACCTTTCACTCGTTCGCAGGTGGAAAATTAGGTCAACGGTTAACATCAATTTCCTGTTTTGGTTTAAGTTTTTACTATCTATATAATAATTTACTGATTATTTTTGTTTTGTATGTTAAATATTATCACATCCACACGTTAAACTAAATTAAATAGTAAAAAAAAAATCTAATATTTACTTGGGGGCGCTGTAGGGGTGCAATGACTAATCCAGGGGTAGCTATAGCGCCCCCTGGCGCCACCACTGTAAACCGGTTAATTGCAGTTAATGTTGTGCTTCAAGTCCTTCTGCTGCACTGGTGCAATATATTTGTGCCACCAGAGGGCGCAAGAACGCCGATATCAAATATGTTTACTGGGCTACCCAGAGGACCAAACCGGAAACAGTCAACAACAAGGCAGCGTTGGAGCAGTTTACCGGTATTCTTAGTTGTTTCATTCTTGGAACACAATAAGCCACATGTCAAAGCGCTGAGCCTGGCAGAACATGGCGCAGCAAACTGAACCGAGACCAACGAAAGGTCAGTGTGCTGTGACGCTCCTTGTGTCTGACTCCTAATTTGTCTAGTAAAATAAAGAAATGTCAAGTGTAATTATTTAGTTCAATGCCAGAAATGTGTCTTTTTTACCGTGGCCTTCACAAAGCAAGCACGTAATCGCAAGCAGCGGTGTTATTTGATGCCAGACGGTCCGCTGCGCAACAAGTTCTGAGTCTGACGGACATTTCACTTGTCATCCTACTCTCTCTTTACTTTTTGTTTGTAAATGTAATGAGTTTGGGACTTTAGTTGTGCATCAGAATTATGTTAAAAAGAAAAGCGTTGCTATTTATAGAGCGGGGGCAAAAGTTTGTGTGCGTGGGGGCGGTGGTTTCCAGTTAACTGGCCATTAATCGTTAAGGGGCGTCAATAGTCGGTTAAAGAAATTTTGGTAAACGTGCATGAGCTTCCAACATTATTGAGACATTAGATTGTTGTTATTTCACTTACATATTGCACCTTTAATTTTGCCATAAAAATTATGTTTGGCTTATTTACGCGACTCAGCAGGATGATAAATATAATCACAATACAGATGGAGGTCTTATGGATGGTCATAATGTGTGAGGAGTGTTGGACTAGTCATTATACATAATGACCATGTGTATAAAAGAAAAAGATCAGCAAAAAATAACAACTACATACTGTTAATGGGTAATGTTGTTGACTTACTGGAAGTTCAACCAGAACAATGAATTTTAAATGACTCACCCTGCTTCTATATTAAATGTCCTATTTTAGGGCAGTAAATACCACCTGGTATGTTATTCACCATTCATCACAAGCCACTGAGCTGGCGTGGTACCAAACGTGTGATCCCCTCCACCAACCAATCAAACAGAGCTGCTCTGAAATGACGCCACTAAAGCAGACATGATAACTCACTGTAATAAAAATCGAGATATCTAACCTGATGTTGTTATATTTGTACATCTGACAGTTGATGTAATACCAAATAGAGACTCTTCTTTTGCCTTAAATGAAGAAATGATGTAAAATCTGGGTACAGATTAAGAGTGTGAGTCAGTCTCTGTATTACAGCATTACTCGACATGGTCAGTAAATCCCAGTGACTTGCTAATCCTCTGAAATATGCCTTTTTTCTACTAATCTTATTCTGTGAAGAAGAGGGGGGAAAGGAACTCAGCCTTTTGAGAACAAAAAGTCATTCTTACTGATGATAAGCCCGCATGTATCATTAACTCTTTGAATTGCAATTGCAGTGTTTTCTTAAGGGCACGGGGTGAACCTAACAGTTAATCCAGAGAGAAATAATGAATAGTACATCATGTGCAGCATGAAACATCCCACTCAGTCATCGTGGAGGTGCTGCTTCAGATGTTTTCTGCCCACCTTTCCTGCTTCTCAGTGTTCAAATGTGGACTCTGACATGTCACTTAGGAGACAATAAAAGTAATTTATGGTTATATAGCTGAAGGTTACAGTGCAGAACATTAAATAAACCGAACTTTGAGCCGTGGAAGTTACAGTAGCAATTAAACTGTAACAGAAAAAGTCAGACCTGACACCCAACTGGTGATCATTCATGCCAAAATGAAGACGAGGGTTTCTGTGTTTCAAAATCACTTTTTTTTTTATCTCCGATCTGCCGATTTTGGCCAGTTCTGATTGATTTAAAAGGACTAATATAATAAATAGAGTACACACTTGCCTATATCTGATTAACTTGAGAAATGTGATTCTGGAAGTATAAACTTCCAAATGAAAGATTGTAACTGAGGACATGTATTATTTTCAGTGATGGTAAGTTCATGCACAGGCAAAAAAAATGTCAAGTTTATTGCTGCTTGGCTGTGATGTTTTTATGGATGGAATCAAAAATCTCATTTTTTTTTGGTTCTAGATTGGAAAACCACAGATTATGCTGAGTTTTGTCAATGTTTGATCACCTGACCATTTTTTCCATACGTTTCTATTTGTATGGGCTGTGCTGGAAAATCTTGGTTAGCTTTGTAAGGACGCTGTCATTAGACTTTTTGTGGCAAATGTTTCATGCATTAAGAAGGTAAAACTCACAGGTGGTTTGTTTGGATCCACCTGTGGCTCGTCCCTCAGGTGTGATGCTTCCAGGATGTGTTTTACTGCATCCATCCGAAACCCATCCACGCCTTTTGCAAGCCAGAAATGAATAATGTCCTAAACAAACAGAAGAAAGTACAAAACTTCATTAAGCTTCTGCATAAGTAGTACTGAACAGAAAAAAAGACAAATAGATTTAATAGAAAAAATTCATTAGTCACAAATCCCTGCTATTATCTTAGATCCCTCGTTAATAAAAAAATAATTCAGTTAACATGTTAGTTCAAGTTGTCTTACAATGATCTCTTGGCGAACACGAGGGTTCCTCAGGTTCAGGTCTGGTTGTTCCTTTAGGAACTGGTGAAGGTAGCATTGCCCTCGAAAGTCATCGTAAGTCCACGATGAGTTCCCAAACACACTCACCTACATGACAAGAAGAAACCAATCCATCTCATCGTGCAAAGCTAAAACCAGAGTGATCGTGTGTGTGATGGTGTCGTCAAACAAACCCAGTTATTAGGCTTTGGAGATGTCACGTTGCAGTCAGCCCAGATGTAGTAATCCTCATAGAGAGGATCTCTATTCCGACTCAGGTTGAACCAGCGGTGACGGTCGCTGGTGTGATTAGGAATGAAGTCCATGATGAGCTTCAAACCTGGTGGGACACAATATTAATTACCTGTTAAACAAAGACTGCCACTTCTAAATGAGATGTTCTCACCTGTGCATTTCTTCACAAATAAACAAACAACCTCACCTTTATTGTGCATTTCAGCCAAAAGATCATCTAAATCTTTCATGGATCCAAAAAGTGGGTCGACGTCCTGGAAATCCTCGACGTCATAGCCAAAATCCTTCATGGGAGAGCGGTAGAAGGGACTGATCCACACCGATTTGATGTGCAGCTCCAGGAAGTGATCCAGCTTCTCCTTAATTCCTACGGAAAGACGCCACCAGGATGAGTACAGCTGTAGAATACGCAAACCCAACAGATCCTTTTCCTCGGTGGAGATTTTGATCGACATTTGGAGAAAGCAAATGTATTCTGCAAAGCTTTCTTCTAAAGGAGAACATGACCTTCAGTGTGTCATCAGAATAGAGTTTTAGCAAATCTTGCCGAAAGATTCAAACTAATTGAATATAACGGTTATATAAAAATGTGTTGCTTCTGTAGTTGTAATAGGAGCAATCTGGTCTGAAATCCATTTGGTTAATCAAAGTTGTGTCACTTTTCTGCAAAAAACTTTGAAGTTCATTCTTTTAGGACCAAATGTGATATTGTGTGTAGCCCAAGTATAAAACAGCAATGTGTTACAGGACAACTAGAAGACTGGCTCTAATTTGAACTCTTTATGGTGATTTTGTGCAGACTTGTGGCTCTGAAGTCATTCATTAAATTTTAAAAGTAACCCAATACTTAAGGCTTTGTGTTTTTATGAAAGTCACCAGCTGGGATCTTCTGGCCAGTTAGAGCTTCCTACCTCTGAGGTCTCCGACTCCATCCCCGTCTGAGTCCTTGAAGGACCGGAGGTACACCTGGTACACGGGCGAGACCTGCCACCAGCTCAGGCACCGCGGGGACAGCGCGATCACCGTGATGGTGACCGCCAGCAGCGCCAGCATGCAGCACACCGTTAGCCAGAACAGGATCTCTCGTGGCACCCGGTACCGAGCCCGGGTCGAGTACAGAAGCAGCACCTCTTTGGGCATCCCTGCGTAGGGTTGGAGCTGATTGTACTCCTCATCCGTGTCCAGCTTCACGGTGGCGGATTCCTGCCTCTCCCCGGGGTCAGAGCCGGTGTTTTCCGCTGCGTCTGCATCATCAAACCCGGGGTTTCGGATGCAGTTCTTCAGCTCCACACGACCGCTTTCCTCTTTTAAACTCATCGGTATTTAGTCTGAATCTAAACCCAGCCAGGAAAGCGTGAGTGCTGTGGTCTGGTGGGAGGACTGGTGCGGAAGCTCTTCTCATATCAGTACCACCTGAGGAATGTGAGGGGCACGCGGAGGTCTGATAGGACTGGTTACAAATTAGCGTTTCTTGGATTGCTGCAGAGTTGACTGTTATGGAACACGGTGGCCCCTGCTTTACTCAAACTCAAGTCATTTTAAAATAATCATAGCAGGGACGCTGATAGGAATTTTAACACAGCAGGTTGATATGGGGAACCCTTGTACCAGAGAGTGCTTTTCTTTATGGGACTTTGGTAGTTTGTCCTGAAGTCGATGTGGTAGCAGCCAGGTGACGTTCTCCTCTGATGTTATTGGGTAGAAAACCTCACACCAGTGGTTAGGCTCATGTGGAAGTGTGTGAGACACATTGGATGGTCAAATTGTTGGTTTCGGAAGCTGTTACTGGCAGAGGTTTTCAGCCAAATGGGAGAGAACCACTATTGTTTGCTTTTCATCAACACATATTTATAGTTATTGATCCTTTGCATGTGACGTCACACCACTCATGGGACCACCCCCATTTGCCATGGTGGATGGCAAAAAGACCTTTTACAGACATTGAAACTCCAGTAAAGCTAGTCAAAACATGCCAGTTTGTAGCCTTTTATCGCTTTTATTTTGTTGAATTTACAATAAAATGGTAACATCTTGCTGCACGGTTGGCTGCACAAACAGAGAAGGAGTAAAGTCAACTTTTTATTTATTTTTTTCTCAAATAACTTTGATGGACACTGAGGACGGATACGAACTGCAGCGATCAATCAATCGGACTACCAGCCCTCAAAGTATCTTTGGATTTGCAGCAAACATGTTTTAGCGGGCGAGATTAACATTTATATATTTCATGAGGAAGACAGAGACAGAAATAAATGTGTTATTCTAATGGGTGGACAGCCATTTCACCATGGAGGACGCACAGTATACCGTCCACTGTAGTGAAAAGCGAGATAATTATTTACAATATTACTGCTGCAATAACATCATACAGTGCTCCAATGTAAAAAAAAACGTTATTTATTTAGTACGAGCGATCTTGTCTCATTCCAGTGTGTGAGCATCAGCTTAACCTGGTGACACAAGCAACAAAAACTGGTACAGGTCTGGACTTTTTTTATAACTTAGCTTTGGTGTAAAGTGGAACACGGTTTATAACATACGGTTATAAAGCCAGCGGGGTGAATTTTGGCTAAGTCGGGAACTTGTTTACATCAGTGAACAGCCGCAGAGAGAATTTAAGCTAGTGTTCATAAGCTAGTTGCCACTTAACTTTTGTAAATACCGCTCTCTATGAGCCCCACCTAGGTGGGCTACTTCTGATAACTGACCTGGACTTGAAAGGAATGCTAAATATTGCAAAAAACTATTTCAGGCTCTACATTTCCTTTTGTTTAGTACTCGTATCGCTTACTGTTTACATGCTTTTGTCAACCAATATGGTAGACCCACGTGATTCTGTGACGTCGGTGCAAAGGGCCAATACTATGTTAGAACATATTTATGACAGGAAAAGAATGTTTTAAAGTTACTTGTTTTACAAGCCCTTTTTAGAAGACACGTCATGCCAGCAAATCAGCGTAATACTGCCGCTGTGTGCCGTTTGTGAATGCATTTATCTGAAGTTGAAAAAAGAAGTGTCGCAATCACACTTTCATGTGGAAATTTAATGGTCAAAGGTGCATTATGCAGAAATGAAGCAAGAATGACATGCTCTGGTAACATTTGGTTACCTCAACTCTTTTAAACAACTCTGGAGCTTTGTGCCGGACGTAGTCAAATTACAATGGTCGGCGCTGCAGTGTTATGTCGATGTATATTATGTCGATGGTTAGCTCGCAGGAGACATGGCAACCCCACACTCACTGATTGTAAACAGTAGCTACATCCCTCATTCTTTTGCTTTGAAAGCAGAAAAACTGACAGTCCCCGCAGCCAGCTGGATATGAAACATGTTTCAGTATAATCTTCCTTCAAAAATGACTGAAACATTACTCTTTTGGGATTTTCTCACTGTAAAATTCTCACTATACTCTTACATACTGCAACTTACTAAGACATCAAAATAGCTTTTTTAAATTGTTTTCTTTAGTGTAAATTATTACAAAATTGTTATATTTTGAAACTTATTGAAAAGCTGATGTATCATAAGCAACTGTAACTGAACTGCTGTTTAAGGCAAGGTGGGTTACCAGTTGGAGCTCACTCTGTAACCAGAGGGTTGACGGTTTTAACCCAGTCAGTGTCAGTCATTGTGTCCTTGAGCAAGACACCTCCCCCTTCTTTCCCGCTGGTGGGGATAAGACAGACCGGGTGTGCCTGAGTACTGCATCCTTGCTTCTGTCAGTGTGCCCCAGGGCAGATGTGGCTACAAAGTAGCTCATCACCATTATCAGTGTGTGAACGTGAGTGATTCATTTAAGTGTAAAGCTGACTCAGGATGGTGTTACACAAGTGTAGGTCATTCACTTTTTCATACTGAGGTAAATATAGGCTAGAATTTAAAATAGGCTAACTCAGAGGCAGTTTGGTGTTAGATTTTTTTTTTCAAATGCCTCCGTCCAGCTCAACCAATCCCCTTTACTGTTAGTCTAGATCTGCCACTGGTTTTATGTTTTTTTTAAAGAGACTACAAAAATATTTCAATAATTTTATATTTTATAGCCTAAAGCCTCACTGGCCTGGCACTGTTGAAAATATGGGAAATCATGCAAATGTCTATTAGAAGCATACTGATACATTTGTGAATGGGGCTGTATGTCATGCTTATGTATTAGTCATGTATTCATTTCTTAATTTCTTTACGGTTTGGGCACAAAATTCTCTCAAGTTCCCTCGAATTTCTTGCACTTTCTGATTTATGAAACTAAATCAGAAAGTTTAACATGGGTTGTGTGCAACTCTGTCACAACGTCTTGCAATTTTCCTTTTTACAGATTTAAAATCTAAGCAACATGAGCACAGGGAGCCGTGACTGCTGAGACTGAGAACCAAGTCAGAAACGACAAACCTATAGCAGTGTGTGCTCAGAGCTATTCAAAAGCTAAGTAAGGTGAGTGAAAAAAGAAAAGGAAACCTGATTAAATGATTTTCATCGTACAGAACAAATTGTCTGCTAGAGATAAAATTTTACTTGTTACAGGAGCCGTGAACAGATTAAGGTAACTGTCCAGAAACTAACAAATATGTCACTCATGAGGTGAAAAAACATGTGCTTACACAAAATAGTATTCTTGTACTGCACTCATTTTGGATAGCACACACCAGACACATTTACGTCATTTTTCAGTTTAAGGGTAAAAATAAAGGCAAAGAAAGCCATTAAAACATAAATCATCTTTTATTGGTGTTTATGTTCACTGTATGGTGTGTCAACTTCCCAACTGTATTCTGGGAAATTAGTACAAGAAAAAAGTGGCAAAACCTCAAACCCGATGTCCAATTCTGCCTTCAGTGTAAAGCATCCTAATGTCAAATCATAACAGATTTATTTAAAGAATTTTACTTATGCAGCCATTCATATAATTCTGAATAACTTACTGACAAGAGAATGTTGCAAGTTAGAGGTCGTTTCCATCCTAAAACCCTCACAAGTTGTTGTGAGTTTACACAATTTATGTGGGCCAAACGTGCCCACGAGACGAGTCATAGAAACTAATTATTCAGGAGTCATAAACCTCCTATGTGAGCCCACTATCAGAATAATGATTAAATATAAACAGGTCTTAAAAAGGAAGCAGAAAGCTCGTTTTGTCATTAAATGTTTTAGAGCAGGATGCGACTCTGCAGTGCTGCTAGTATTCAGTTCATGCAGTGGAATCAGTGTGAATAATAAAGAATTACATTCAAAAAAATAATCTCTCCCTCCCCATTCCCCCATAAATCCTCTAAGCCCAGTGTCTCGTTTAAACAAATGCGGACCGTTCAGTGTGGTACGACTCTGCACAAGGTTCAAGTCAGAAAATGAGTTCTGGGTAGTCAGTAATTCTGGAATCAAATCAAACCAGACACGGTGAATAAAAAGAAATACGAAACTTAAAATCTAATTTAGTCTCATACAAAAATAAAGTTCTCCACTTTCCTGCAGGTTGGGTCCCAACACACTGAACGTGTCCCACATTACCCCGCTCACTAAGTACACTCCTAACCTCATAAAACATGCACTACAAGAGCCCACCCCTCCATCACAAACACACTCATCATCTACTCAAACAACTACAAAAGAACGACACATTCAAGTACCTGTTCGTCATATGGCACCAAGACCCAGAGTACCACCAGAACTTTAACCAACCAGCGGTCTCAGGCCTCATCTCTTCCAATACCGCCAGTGAAAGCAGGCCCAATATGCAGCTGGTTGGTAGAGACGGTCTTTTACAGTTTTGTCGACACATTTTAAAACAATCTAATAAAAAGAAAATCACAAAGTGTCAACGTTGTTTATGCACGTTTGTCAAATAAGGAACTCCGATGGTTTCATTCTGACCAGTGCCAATGTTGAAATTTCATTACTTCAGAGAATATTTTCTTGAGTTCGTGAAGTTTTCAAAGAAATTACTGACAGTAATTTTACTGACATTGTGAATAGGAGACAAATAAAATCACCAACAGAGTTCCTCCTTTTTAGTCTCCCCGAAATGTAAAATGTTTAATTCTCCTGTTAGTCGTTTTCATCCGTTTGATCAAAATGGAACTCAAAACGAGAACACACATCAATAAAAAATATAAAGGTAGTACGACAGAATGTTTTCAACTAGAACAAAATAAGGCTTAAAACACACAGCAGTTATCTGTAATAGAAAAGGCAGGAAGAATGAACAAGGATGTTGTGTATGCCTCCTATTTTATCTTAATTAGCCTGCCTACACACACGCACACACACACGCACACACACACACACACACTGAATATCAGGGCTGAAAATATAACTGATGCAAACAAACAAAATATATATATTTTTCATATCTAGATATGTATATCTACAAGAATTTATCATACAATATCTATTTTTTAACAGCAGGGCTCACAAGTTTATGATTTCAGGCAATGTTTGCCAAAGTACTGCAGTCTTATTTAATGGGAGACATCAAGAAGCAAAAAGAGAATAACTGAAGGAAAACTTGTTAAACTGTTACATCCTTTAAGAGATGAGAGCAGAGAAAGTGAGCAGAGGCGTGCAGGAGGAGTCACACTTGGGTCAAAATCATCTGCAGTGAGGGACATCAGCGAGGTTTGATTAGAAATCCAAAAAGAGCCAAAACTGAAATCATGTCAATAGCATTCCTCGAGTTAAGGTGCGAGCCTCGGGCTTTCTGTTCCTATTCTGAAGCCTTTACTCAGAGGCCTTTGGATGGTGCTTCAAATCCAGAAAATGTTCTCCAGTTTAGCTGAGGTGTTGGAACCCCAGCCCCTCAACAGGAGGGGAAACAAGGTTACACTGCAAAAACAAGTAATGCCACAAACTGTTTAGTTACTCAGAATCCTCTGAGTGGCTGTTTCCAGCAATGGCTGGCTGGGTGTGGAGCTGCGATGTCCTCCCTTCTCTCTTTCAGGTCTGTACAAGGCACTGTAGAGTCCAAATCTTTGAGAGCAGAGCTGATCCCAGGTCTGTCAACCAAAAAACACCACAAAAAAAGCAAGAAAACAAGAGGACCAACAAACCCAGTTTATTCACCTCTCCGTTGAGTTTTCAGTCCTGTAGTGCAGTTTATCTCCCGTTTGCTTATGTAAATAAATGAAATATAACTTGCAGTCCTCCACATTGGGCGAATCAGTAAAACTCCTGCTTCTATTACTCTCTGAAGTCAAATGAAAACATGAGAGTGGATGTGATCGCATGTGGAATAGTGGTCCTGTTTAGTTTTCTCTTTTTTGGATCCTGCAGGACAGCTACCAGTGGCACTCCAAATCTGCTCCATTCTGTAAGAGGAAAGTCATAAAGGATGGAGGAAAGACAAGGGAGAAACAGGGAGGAAAAAAGAAGGAAGGGTGGCAAAAGATAGCAACTAATTAAGAGAGAAAATGGCACACTTTGTTATTTTAGGGCAGATTCATTGATTGTTATACTCTAACTGGACTTTTAGGGTTTGATTTTACAACCAACACAGGAAACAGCAATTACAACACCAACAGGTCACACTTTCTAACCCTGGACCTTCGTTATGCAACAACACACCAGCATAACGACTGCAAGGCTTTTCGCAGGGGAGTGACAGAAACTGATATTTGTTTGCGTGCAGCTGCTGAAAAATCTGGATGAGGTGGTAATGCATGCGTGTAGGGCTGGTGCATGCGTTCTTGTGTCTGAAGTGAAAGTTGGACAGACAGGACCAAAAACACCTGGTAACTCATCCTCTCCACGGACGCACACACACTTTTAACACTACAAGGTGCTCTACATGCTAGAGAATTGACCAGAGTAGGTAGAGACCGATGACGGTGACAGGGGGATATGCTCTGCAGGGTCACCACTTACATGCCTATAAGCGTGTGCGTGTGTGCATGTGAGTGTGTGTGTGTGTGTGGATGAAAGAGGAGGTTAGGGGGTTAACAGTTATATATGCAACTTACCAAATGAAACAGGAGGGCTGCGTTAATCAAGAGGGTGAACACACCGTTAGACAAAGATGAATCCCCTTGTGTGTGTGTGTGTGTGTGTGTGTGTGTGTGTGTGTGTGTGTGTGTGTGTGTGTGTGTGTGTGTGTGTGTGTGTGTGTGTGTGTGTGTGTGTGTGTAAAACAGTGTTTGCACTTTATCTAAACACCTCAAAATATCCAACTAAACAGCAAAACGTGAAACCAGGTTTCTTTGTGTTGTTTTTAGTACTGAGACGAGGACTGTCCTTGTCAAGTAATTCTTTTACTTTTTTAAACAGGAACAGCTACACTGAACTTTTTCCTATTGTTTTACGATGTTTGAAGTGACCAAAAAGCTGCTAATATAACAATGAGTCCAAACCGCTAAGGAAGAGTAGAGAGTATAGTAGATAGATCATGTTTATTCAGTCATTGTGAAAGTGTTCTTGTTCATCTGGAAAACAAAGCTAATGATTTCAACTGACTTGACTGAGAAAGCAGGACATACTCAGGTAAACACCAACCGCAACACACACACACACACACACACTTATCTAGACATTAGCATGTCAAACACATAAACACATGCATAAAACCTTTCACTAGACAGAAAAACCACCTACTTCATATTAAAAGTGTGGAACACTGAAAAAATACATTTTTATGACTAATCGGTCGCACACCCCCAGTACAACTTACAAGGCATTCATTCCTACTAAAGACCTCTGCAAATGTACTGATTAAATGATTACTCAACACCTTTAACATTTTTAATATCACATCCCGTTCCTCATGACGTTCAGTCTTAGGTCCAAGTATCCACGTGTTTTAATATGTAAACACTGCTTACAGTCAAACTGATAACCCCCCACTCCCCACCTCTGAGCCCAAGCTCAGTGATGTCTCACTTTGATCCGTTTTCAAAACCTAAAACATTTGAACCTTTTTTTTATCATTAATTCACTTTTACCATTTATTATTTTTTTAATCATTTTCCCATCATGAACGTAATAATTATCTGTGGCCTACAGACAACCCAGATCATTGGTCAGGATTATCTAAAGGAGACTGTCATCCAGCTGCTGTTGGAGACATACACATATACCTGTATCAGAAGGAAAGAATTAGCAACAACATACGTCCTGACATTAAAAGAATGAATGAATGAACTAGGCATGCTCAATATTGGCCTTTTGTCGGTATCCGATATTGTCTGACGCCGGGGGCACACCGGCTGCCGAAGCACCGCAAATGACATCAACATCTCCCCCTCGGCGCCCTTGTTATCCTATTCTATAGACCACATGGGCCACCGATCGCCGGCGCTCCAGCCCGCGCCGTGCAGCCATCGTTTTGGCGTCTGCTCTATTTTTTTCGTGAGCCGCGGGTGAACCGCGTCAATTCTGGCAGGAAGTCAAACCTAGACGTAAGAGGCAGGCCGGTAAATTTTACAAAATAAAGCATTTCAAAATAAAATTCCGCGATAGTCAAATGTGTTCGTAAACAGACACTGCATAAAAACCACACACACACACACACACACACACACACAGCAAACTGTGTGTGTGTGTGTGTGTGTGTGTGTGTGTGTGTGCGTGCGTGCGTGCGTGCATGTGTGTGTGACCACGTGAAGGGGGTGTGGTTTTGGGTGTCTTTCAACCAGAGCAGACAGGACAGAGAGGCAGAAAGTTGTAGGACAGCTATTAACAACTGGTTCACACCATAGGTCCACACACAGACAAACACACACAGACAGCAAGGGGGAGGGGGGCGTAGAGGAAAAGAGCAGAGAAAAGGCAGAGAGGAGATGGAGGACACAAAGTGGTTAAAAGAAAAACTACGAGGCGCGCCTTGACCGGAGCGGAGAAACAAGCGTCTGGTCTGAACTGAGGAGCAGTGAGCAGCGACCGAATTTCATGAGCGCTTCGCCTCCAGTCACTTTGCGGCGCTTCGGCGGCCGGTGTGTCCCCGGCGTCAGACAATATCGGATACCGAGAAAAGGCCAATATCGAGCATCCCTAGTTCATTCATTCATTCTTTTAATGTCAGGACGTATGTTGTTAAGTTCTACTTTGACTTTGAAAATTAAACAATATGCTCAAATCTCCAAGCAGTTCAAACAGATGGGATTGATCTCAGTTAGAGCAAAAGAATGTGAGTCCTGAGAATTAAAATAAATAAATAAATTGCACCTTAAATGTAATTTTCATCCTCAAACATCAGCATATGTGTGCATTTTTGTGTGGGGGCTGAAAATAGAGAAAGGGTAAAGGACAAAGTTCTTTTAAAGGTACTCACTCCATCTTCCTCCTTGTATGGACTCAGACGGTTGTATACTGCTTCAATAACACTGCGTCTGTGAGGAAAATACAAATACATAAATGGGGTGTCAGGTTCATAATTTTAAGCTACATGTCAAAAGAGAAAACAGAAGGAAAAATGTGAAGGTTTACAGGGTATTTATACAACAAGTTGTATTTAAAGTTTTAAAACCAATATGGATCCCATCAAAGATAGTTGCCCTTACTTGCTGGCAAGTCCCCCCCCTGGTGGCAGCGGGGGCATGCCACTGTCTGTAGACAGGTTCCTCATCACGGTCACAAGGTCTGGAAAGGCCTCATCTCCTGGCCGAGACAGCATCTCTACACACAACGATAGACGTGTTACACAGCCCAGAATTCCCAAAGCCGATTCCAGCCAACAACATCAATGAGCAGAGCAGAAGAAAGACAAAAGTGTGACAGAAAGAGAGAAGGGACGCTCTCCCAGTGAATTTGTGAAAATGAGTGTGAGACATGAAGACACCAAGAGGGTTGCAGCTGAGCAGAGTGGCACGAGGCCAGCTGGATGTTCAGCCAGAGCATTCTTCTCAGTCTGTTCTCTCCCTTTTTACTCCCTCTCTTTTTGTCTTCTAGAGCTCAGTCGAAACACTGAGCCAAAGCTCTGCTCTGATATAACTGAACAAAATGTTTCTATTTCTACACAGTAGTTCACCATCGGATCAAAGGTTAAATCACTTTAACCTACTGTAGATTAAGCACAGATAACACTGATGAATAACACTCACTGACTTCGGACTCTTATAAATACATTTTGCTTTTGTTAATTCGGTGGATCCTCAAATTCCCAGAAGTCATAAAAGCATCAGTCAGTAAGGTCAGAATCTGTACCAGCTGAGCAGGAAAAGCAGAAAAGTTGCTCTTTCTCACCTTCTACTCGAGCTTCCAGATATTTGTTGAGCTCAGCTTCTTTCATCACAGCTTCCTCGGATACTTTGGGAGCATTGGGTAAACACACCAGTACCATACTCATGTTATCCCGACTACCCTAGATAGAGAAAAGAAAGAAGTAACGAGTCTTGTGATTAAAGCTGCTACTAATTCTAAACAGGAAGTAAATTTGTTATTTATGCTGGACCCTCTAGAAAAGCCATGCAGAGAAACTTACCTTGTGCAAGCAGGTGTCCACCACTTCATTACAGACTTTCTCCAGGTCATCACACACCTCAAGTCTAGATTTAACAAACTCACATAATTCCTCATTAGACATGACATCCCAGATGCCATCACAAGCCAGAATGATGAACTGATCTAGCTCTGGTGCCCGGACCATCACAACCACTTCTGGTTCAGGGCTAACCAGTTGCTCCGTGGGGCCCTTGCCATCCACGCATTTGTAATCATAGTCTCCTAAAGCTCTTGATACAGCTAGTGATCCATTCACTCTCTGAATCATCACAGAGCCTCCAGCATTCTGGATGCGCTCCCTCTCACGCGGGTTGCAGGGCTTGTGATCGAGCGTGGAATAGCACACCTGTGAATTGCGATACAGGACAGCTCGAGAATCTCCACAGTTGATGAAGAAGAAATGATCTGGTGACAGAAGAATCCCTACAGCTGTTGAGCCGCTGCGATCCAAGCCATTTCGAAGGTCAGAGAAGCTACGCATGTGCTCATCAATCTTTAGGAAGCCTGTACGAATCCCAGTTTTCACAGCTTCCACTGCAGGAGGCACTGATGCTTGGGAGTCACCGATGGAGCTGTCTGGACCAACCTGCTGGCCTTGTGTATCTTCAGCTCCGAAGCTAGCAGTGATTATGTGTTCAAGAAGGTGCTTGGAGCAGTAATTAGCAACCCTTGATCCAGCGTGACCATCATACACAGCAAAAAACGACCAGCTACTCATACCAGGAGTCTGTAGTCCGAGAACAGCTGTGTGAGCATCTTCCATCTCCACCCGCCAGCCCTGCATGGAGCTCAACCCATAGCGCAGGCCGTTGCCCTCACCATGTGAGTTGTGCTTCTCCGTTTTGGGTTTGTCCAGGAACGCACCCATGGCTCTGCCTCAGACGGACCCACTGCTACCTGCGAGACAAAAAAAGACAAGCACGGGGAAAAGAAAAATAAATAGACAAGACAATTTGCATAATAATAGGGATGGGTACCGAATTCAGTACTTTTTAAGGTACCGACCGAATTCCACAGTACCGACCGAGCACCGATTCACTTCATTTGAAACGGTGCCTCGTTTCGGTACCCATCCTTCATAACGAGAACATGCCTAGACAGCTGCGCATGCGCAAGAGCGTTATGTCGTCGGTCCCTGCGAGCCAGTTGTAAACAGAGCATCATGGTAAAAAGAATGCACGCTAAAGCTTGGGTCCACTTCACTAAATGTGATGGGTAACTGGGTGATGATGAAACCAGCGACAACGATCTAAGTGAGACATCCTTATCTTAATCTGCTCTGGTAGGTAAATAAAATGTTTAAGATAACGTTAGCTTGATTTGTTAGCTTCCGTTTCACTAATGGTGCGTTCGCTTTCTCCTTGGAACTCCGAATTTCCAACTAGAAGAACATGAACGCGCTCTAAAGTTTGGCTCCACTTTACTAAATGTGACGAGTGATTGAGTGAAGATGAAACCAGCGACGATCTAAGTGTGAGGCATCATCGTTTTAATCTGCTCCAGCAGTTAAATAAACTGTTTAATATAATGTTAGCTTGATATGTTAGCTTCCATTGCCACCATTGTTATTAGGGCTGCAACAACGAATCGATAAATTCGATGAAAATCGATTACTAAAAGCGTTGGCAACGAATTGCGTCATCGATTCGTTGTGTCGCACAACTCTTCCAAAAGCGCCCCCCCCCCTCCCTTCCCGCCCGCCGTTGCGCACAGACCAGAGCAAGTCAGATCAGCGCGAGGGAGAGCCGCAGATCAGCGCGAGGGAGAGCCGGCAGATCAGCGCGAGGGAGAGCCGCAGATCAGCGCGAGGGAGAGCCGCAGATCAGCGCGAGAGAGAGCCGGTACAGGCAGATCAGCGCGAGAGAGAGCCGGTACCGGCAGATCAGCGCGAGGGAGAGCCTGCAGACTTGCGCTGCTGCGAACCGGTTTCGCATTGTTGCACAGCGATCCAGGCAGTTGCTTCCAGCGCACGGTCCATTCTCAAAGTGGCGCAACCAAAAAACTATAATTAGCACACGATCGTTCTTGTCTGCACATCTTCTCTATTTTCTGCACAAGCCTGAAGCTCGCTACTGCGGAGCTCATCACCTGTGCTGTGGTGATGTCACCTCACGCAGCATCGAAAACGCGCTCTGCGCTTTGCGGTCAGGAGATCTCTTTGATCTGCTCAAAAGTAACTGATGAGGTGAAAAGGTAAGAATCCAGGCAACAGATTTTCTGGAGAATTATGAGGAGATGCAGGAAGATGAGAGACAGACAGGACAGGAAAATAGTTAAATAAAAACAAGAAAACAAAGTAAAATGTAGGTAGATTTATCTCCACTACACGTTTTTACCAGTAAAAAACAATAAGTTATACACGTCATATTTATACATCTGATACAATTCAGATCACCTTCAAAACTCAGTCACACACCCAGGGCCGTTTCAAGACATTTTGGGGGCCAAGGCAAAATGCCCCCCCCCCACCCCCCCAATAACTGGGCTCCCCAGAAGCCTCTGTGTAATCCATACCCTCTCCAGGAGTGTTAGTAAAATCCCCTCAGACATTACTGACATGTTCTAATATTATCAGATGAAAAACTAAATTATCAGACATGCTGTCTCATCTGCTTCTTTTCTAAACTTGCAAAAAGTAACAAAACCATTTGAAAGCCACTATTTGTGGATTCTCTGAAAGTTTCCATGGAGTGTGTGACAACTTATTTTTTCATTGATCCTATCGTCTAATCTCACAGCTGAAACAAGCATCCTTAATAATCTGTGCACAGGAAGCTTACCGATGCTGTAGTAAAGTTTCTTATTAATAAAACCTTGTTGCAGCACTAAAGCATAAAAATGAGATTTTGCATTAAATATGCAAAATATTTACATATGAATTGTTTTAGAGCCCTTTTATTGGCATAATCTGATATTAATTTAGTTCTTACAAAAAATGGGTCCCAACGTGGTTTGTGTGGCGTTGCCATAGAGTGACGTCATAGGCACAGATTCCCTGTCCTCTTGTTTGGAAATGGAAATATGATCACCCTATATTAAACAAACTGTCCACCCGGGCTTTTGCGCTGCACAGAGACGCTTCGCTGCCAATGACTTTGAACGTCAGTTGAGAGTCAGTCTCATGCAGAATGACCAATGAAGAGAGGGCCTCAAGTTAAGACCCTCTCCTCATTGGTCAGTCCACACGAGGTGGGTCAAAGGTTACTCTGGGCGGGTTACGTGTTGTCAGGCATTCAAGTATTGAATATATTTACTGCATATTACAGTAAAATATTCTGTATGTGACCACATTATGGTGATCCTCGGGTCGTGATGATGGAGCCCTTGAATATTGTTGCCCAGGGTACAACAAAGTGTTAATCTGGCCCTGGTTCCGCCGTCACATTCCCGCAGAAACTGGTTGATCACACCGGGGCCAGACTACTAGCATGTGGTTTAACAACCACAATGTCCTCAGAAGCAAAAACGCTTTTAAAAGGGAGGGAGGAGTCCTAACTGTTGCTGCAGGCGTGTTGTGTGAGAGTGCAGTTATATACTGGTTAATATATTTTTGGGTTCAGTTGCTTTCATGTGGCCTAATGTGAGTCTATTTGGGATCATTGGAATGATCAGCAGCATTTCTTGATGTGACTTTATGGCAGTTGCCCAGGGCATCATTGCAAGGAGGATGGCATTCATTTACTTTTGTTTTATTTGGTATTTTTTCAGTCATTTTTGGAAATGGTGATCAATTTTGATTAATTCACAGCCTATGTTTAATTACATTTAAAATAAATGTCAACAGATGAGATCAAACAAAACAGATGAGAATTGCCCTTAAGCTGTTTAACTTGGACCAAGCATTTTAGGTCACAGATATATGTAGCTTAGGGTCTCTGTCTATACACCTTATAAGACAATTTAGGTGATGGCATGTTGTTTTTCTGCTATTGAACTGTTTTCTAATAATGTTGTGTTAAATAAAGTGAAGGAAGGAGAGAAATAACGTTCCCCTAGCAGTTTTTAAAAATTTCCCCATGTAATCCGATTAATCGATTAATCGTGTCGAGACCCCGTCCGATTAATCGATTATCCAAATAATCGTTTGTTGTAGCCCTAATTGTTATCATCTAATGGTGCATTCGCTTTCTCCTCGGAAATTCCAACTTCCCAGTAGGAAAAATCAAATGAAAAAGGACGGCAAAAGGAAGATACACAGTAAATTTAGTTCACAGTAAAGATGTTTGCTTCTGTTTAATTGTCAGCTTGTAAAACTACAAGGACGATGTTAAAATACAAACAGTTGTATGTTATTTATCGTGATATTTATCAAGTATGGTTATATATTGAGAAAAATATATATTTAATTATAAAAGAGAATTAAAAATATTAAACACTCAAAAGTATCGAAAATTGGTACCGTTAAGTACCGGTATCGATTCGTAGGTACCGGGAATTAGTACCGAATCGATTCAAATGTCAAAGGTACCCATCCCTACATAATAATAATAATAATATGCCCATGGGCACAGGTCCATGTCTAGTATTGTCCAACATCGTTTTACAAGAATTAGCTGAAAAATAATCCAAAGGGTTCAAAGGAAGGCAACCGGACTCAGCTTCTCATCTGCGGAGCTTTGTCCATTCTGACTGGAATATGAGAGTCGCGCTTATAAACTATAGCTAAAATACCCAACCCCCGCCCCCCGGGGAGACGTTGATGTCATTATGGCCTATTGTGTTTGAATGGTTGTCTTGATTAGATGCAGGAGGGTGTGACCTAGCCTGAAACTGATTCGTAATTAGGTTTTTGGATTGAGTTTTGGATTACCATGACCTGGGTGACTGACAGCATTCACGAGCTGAAAAATAATTTGGAATAGGCAAGCTCGACAAGCTTTGTCAAGTGTCTTTGTTATTAGTAATGTCTAAAAGTAAGACCCAAGTGAGCGTCACTTTGCAAATAGAGCAGATCGTATACAAAACATTATAAATCAGATCATTTTTGCCACATTCAGCAAATTTGAAATATAACTGGTTCAATATGTATTTTATACCTCCTACTTCATGACTTACCCATTAGTGTTTAATCCCCACATTGCAGCTTAAGCTTTTCTTGTGTTTTTTTGCTGAGGGCAATTATAGTAATATTAAACAAAAAAATCAGTCCATCTTGCATGGTCAGGCTATGTCTTAAGAAAAAAATAAGTCCCAACTTTTCTACGCAGCAAGACAATTACCTCAAATACCCCAGGCTGTAGGAAAAATGACAATTCACATCCAGACCGCCTCAGACCTCAAACATCAACCCAAATCAAAGAGTTGATCCACGCAGCAATATAATTAAAAACAGCTCTTGAAACGTTCTTAAATCGCTTCATGGGGAAAATATAGGCAGTTTTAGACAAATTTCAAATAGAACCAAACTCCAAATGTCCACAACACAAAACCTTACAATGACTTACTAATCTCCACCAAAATTACCAGACAAAAACTTTACCTGAATTGGTGCTAAAAAATAAACAAACTTGGCCTCATTTGTATATTTGGATGATTTTTACCATGTGTAAAAACAATAAAAGGCCTGTGGTTTAGGCTTGGGCCGTATTACGGTAATACCGTATACAGCCGGTGTTGGGATGCACGTTTTCCAAAATAAGCTACAGCTTATAAGCTTGACTCTCCCATATTCCAGTTAGAACTGACAAAGCTCCTCGGATGAGAAGTGAAACGTCTTCAAGAAACCAAAGAAGTCCAGTTGCCTTCATCTGAACCCTTTGGACTCTAATACTACAGTGAAAAATGCAGTGCACATAGGAGACAAAGATTAAAAAACATGTTAAAAAGTTGTTTTATTTATAAAACAGTATTGCAGACTTTTCTGTTTGATTTAAATAGTTTAAAATGTTTTGTCAAAA